GGGAGTTCTGCTCTGTAACATGTGGGGTCACTATGAGTTGGAATCCACTGGACAACAGCAATCGCCAGACCAAGTGTGGACAACAGTGAATGCATTGCCCTTTAGGGTCTCCATTCTTGCCAGTGATGGTAAGGGGTGAGGGCAGCAGTAGTTGGGGGTTCACTCAGCAATCTGGGGATCTGCCTCATGTCCTCAAAAGTCTGAGACACTTAGATATTAGAGCAGTAAAAAGCTTTCCCCACCCAACTTCCTCTGGCAATTGGGACATCAAAATGGGAACCAGTACTAATACATAGGGCTCACTGTTGGGGCGTGTTTGACCTAGATCCTGTATCCTCAGGCCCGGGACCCATTGCCCTTGAGTCAATCCTGACTCCTGGGGACCCTACGGGACAGAGCACAACTACCCCATAGGGGTTCCAAGCTGTGAATCTTTATAGAAACAGCCAGCCATATCTTTCTCCTGCAGAGTGGCCAGGGGGCTAGAACCCTCAACTGTCATGCTAGTAGCTGAGCTCCTAACCACTGGGCCACCGTGGGTTCGTCAGAACCACCACTCATTGCTGTCGAGTCAGAACTGACTTACTGTTGACCCTTCTGCAGGGTTTCAGAGGCTCTAAATTGTACGGGGGGAGATTGTTCTTCTTTCCCACAAGGAGCTGGTGCATTTGAAACTCATGCCTTCGGGATGGCAGTGCAGCTCTCTGAAGGCATTTGATAAGAAACAATCCCAAAAGCACACAGTTCAAATCCACCAGTTGCCTTGTGGGAGAAGCATGGCCAGGCAACTCTCTTGGGATTGACTGCCTCTGAAAACCACTGGAGGATTAGATGAGTTGGTTTAGACTCGACAGTACATAACAACAACAACAACTCAACAAGTGGTCGTGGAAGTAAAGAGAGGCTGAATGGAAATAACTCGGTGGCTGAGGTTCTCGAGCACAGGTTTCCAGGCTCCCTGAGGTTTTTGAGCACAGATTTCTGTGCTCCCCAAGGTTCTTCAGCACAGTTTCCCAGGCTCCCCAAGGTTCTGGAGCAAAGGTTACCAGGCTCCCCGAGGTTCTGGAGCACAGGTTTCCAGGCTCCCCGAGGTTCTTGAGCATAGGTTTCTAGGCTCCCCAAGGTTCTGGAGCACAGGTTTCTGGGCTCCCCAAGGTTCTGGAGCATAGGTTTCCAGGCTCCCCGAGGTACTCAAGCACAAATTTCTAGGCTCCCCAAGTTTCTTATGCACAGGTTTCCAGGCTTCTCCTGGTTCTCAAGCACGGGTTTCTGTGCTCCCCAAGGTTCACGAGCATAGGTTTCCAGAATCCCTGTGCAGTGTTTCTGCCACTGTTTTCTGGATTTCTTAAGACTTCCCCTCCTCCCCAAGCCCAGAGCCTGAGGACAAGCTCGTCTGCCCCACAGCCTCTTTCCTGACATGGTGGGGACAGGCATCTCTCCCACGTGTGAACACTACAGTGTCCGCACGTGTCCTGGGGCCCCTGAGCCTGCCTTCTCCGCTGACCTTGCCCCCGCTCTGCTGTTTGCTCTGCGGCCTTCGCTGTGTGCTGTGGGGATTGGGCTGTTTCCTGGTTGACCAGCTTGGGTGTGGAAACCTGCCAGTCCAGTTTATGGGAACAATGGTGGCTTTTGTCACCAGATCACAGCTATTTATCAGTTGCATGGGGGCCCTGGAGGTGGTGACAAGGGAGTATAGGTACATGACTAGCCAGTGTGTCCTGCCCCCTGGTGGGGAGCAGGGGAACAGGGCACAGGACCACTCCCCTCTACACGGCCTCCTCTCCACAGATCTAGGGGGCCAGGGAACCAGGGGTTAGGCTGCCACTTTGCTCTAGGTACTCCTGTGGGCCATCTTCCACATGTCTCCCTGGTACCTTCTAAGTCAGGACCCACATGGTTTTAAAGACAAGAAATGGAAACTCAGAAAAATGATTGATGAGTGCCAGGCAGGGCTAGGACTTGCACCTGATTTGGGGGACACTGGTGGCCTAGTGATAAGAAGCTACACTGCAATCTCAAAGGCACTCAGTTCAAATCTACCAGCTGCCCCATAGGAAATGGCTGGCAGTCTTCTCCCATGTGATTTACCGCCTCAGAAAACCTACTAGAGGGTCAGCTCTGGGTCAACACCATGGCACACAATAGCAACAAACAACTATAGGTTTTTAGGGGAGCTTCCATGGCCCAGTGGTTAGGAGTTGTATTGCCACCCCAAAGGCACGTGGTTCAAATCCACGGGATCTCCAGTGGAGGAAGATAGGCAGTGTCCTCTTGTGTGATTTACAGCCACTGCGAACTGGCTGGAGGGTCAGCTATGAGTTGGTTCTGACATGGCATACAAGGGGGGGGAATAAAAGGACACATTATTTAATATCAAGGACCCTGTGGGGCTGGATGCAGACCCACAGAGTCTGAGTCCAGTCAGCCCTGCTTTGCCTTGCCTCATTTATCTTGGCTTGAATTCAGTTTTCCACTCTGCTACCTGAGTTTGATTGACCCAAAGGCAAGTAGCCTCTGGTGGCCTGTCAGGGAAGCAAAACCCCTGACATCCGTCTATGGCCAGCCCATCCTGCGTGAGGCCAACCATTCTGTTATTTTATATTCTCCTTCATAGAGGAGGGTGGTACCGTCCCTGAGTGCCTGTGAGTGCCCGGCCCTCCTTGCAGCCTCCAGATCTCCAGTTCTTCTTGACTCGGGGCCTGACCCAGTATGGGTTTATGCTAGCCGTGGGTTTGTCGGACACGCTCTCAGAGTTCTTGGCCTGTGGTGTGGGGTGTCACAAGGCTCACTAAGACATAAGCCGCTGGCATCATGAGTGCTTAAGTCCTGGATTCAGGAACCATGTTTCCTGGGTTCAGATCCTTAACTGGGTCAAGTTTACTTAACCTCTCTGTACTTCAGCTCCCTCCCTGGGAACATGGAGATAATGAGAGGGCCTGTTGCACAGTCATTGGCATGAATCCTTGCGTTTTGAAGATACATCTGTACTGTTTGTGTGGATAGAGCCGTGACTGGTGTGAGGTAGCTTCTTTATGTGTTTGTGAGTCTAATGCACAGATACCCGGCTTGTGCCAAGGCCTTCAAAGCACTGGGCCACATCTTGTTCACAGTTGTGCCCAACACAGAGCTGGGCTCTGTGAACATTTCCTGAATGGATGAGTAAGCAAAAAAAAAAAAAAGAAAAAGCCTGACACCTATAGTTGAACTCAGTCTTCTCGGGCTGCTTGGCTCCCTGAAGCCTCAGAGACTTTGGCCTCTCCACATCCACCTCCCACCCCAAACCCAGCTGTGGAAGCTGGTGGGGCAAGGGATGGCGCAAGACCCGTCCATCTGTCCGCAGGCCCTTATGTTTTTCTGGCCAGCTCTGTGGGAGGCCTCACTTTTCCCAGGCAGCTGTGTGTGCCCTCTCCCTCCAGGCTGAGTTGCTGGGGAGGGGAGGGGGAAGGCAGAACTGAAACGAGGCCTCTCCTGTTTATATTTCCCAGGGAAAAGGAGAAGTCACAGCTGGGGGAGCAATGGTTTCCACATGTTGGCGGGGGAACGGGTATCTCAGGGTCCTCTGGGGAGACTCCTGGTCCCTCCGCTGGAGCTTCTGCTTTAGGTCTGGGACTCTTGTCCTGGTTGTTTTCCAGGCCCTGTTGGTGGTTTTTTGTACACCCAAGTTTGAACCTGCTTCTTATTTTCTAAGTATTTATTGAGTGGCTGCTTATGCCAGCTCTGAGCGAAGTAGCGGTGTCTGTCTTAATAGGGCTACATTCTAGAAGAGCCCATCATAAGCAATAGCTTTGGTTGGAAGAGCAAGCGTTCCATGGGAAAAGGAGAGGACAGGGTGGCCTGGGGTGGCACACAGTAGTGGGTGAGCAAACAAATGCAGTTGACGGCAAGTCAGTTCCTGCTGTGGCACCCCCAGGTGTTGCAAAGTAGGACTACACCCCATAGTCATGGTGGTGACCTATTGGCTGTAAACCAAGAGGCCTGCCTTCTGAGACAAGGGAGCTCTGGTGGCCTAGTGGTAAGAAACTGCACTGCAATCCTGAAGGCACTTGGCTCAAATCCACCAGTTGCTTCAGGGGTAAGGAGCCAGGAGGGATGGACAGTCTTGTCCCATGTGATTTACTGCCTCTGAAAACCTGCTGGAAGGTCAGCTATGGGTCAGTTCCAACTCAACGGTAGACAGCAACAACAGCTGCTGAGACAAAGCATCAGGGGCGTTGTGGTGGCTTAGCGGTAAGGAATTGTGCTGCCAAGGCAAAGGTGTGCCGTTCGAATCCACCAGCTGCTCGGTGGGAGAAAAGCACACAGTACCTTCCCATGCAAGTTATTGCCTCTGAAAACCCGATGAAAGGTCAGCTATGAGTTGATTCTGGCGCCAGATGGTAAGTTTGAGTTCTTTTTTAGGATGCCTTTGAAGTGAATAATCAGTCACTTTTTGGCTACAAGTCAAAGCCTTAATAGTTTATTTTCAGTCCAGGGATACCCTGGTGGTTGGTGTCAGAGTTCATTAAATAGGTTAGCCAGAGAAATCCTCTCTAAGAAGATGAGATTTGAGCCCAGTCTGAAGGAGTTGAAGGGAGAAGCCCCATGGACATCTGGTGGAAGGGCGTTTCAGGCAGAGGGAACAGAATTTGCAAAGGTGCAGAGGCAAGAACATGCCTGGTGCGTAGGAGGGTGTGCAGTGTGAGATGAAGTCAGAGACATAAGCAGATGGGACAGGATGTCGGCAGCGGGTGGAATCACGTGGGGCCATATAGGCCTATCTAGACCTTGGACTTTGGGAGTAAATTGGGCACCCATGACAGGGTCCCGCATGCAGGAGTGGCATGCTCCAACGTGGATGAGGCCATCACCTCCGGCTGCTGTGTTGAGAACTGACTGCTTGTTCACTTGACATGAGTAGTTCCCGTAAGGGCAGACTCTGGTGCTGAGGTTTTGGGCCCCAGCACTGGCCCATTCTGGCCTGCTTGTGCAAATGTTAAAGTATCTGCTCATTCCTTCCACAGGGTTCCCACTGTCCCGGTGAAGAACTTGAACGGGTCCAGTCCTGTCAACCCCGCCTTGGCAGGTGAGCGAAACCCAGCTGTGGGCTGCATCAGCTCAAGGGAAGAGAAAGGAAAGTTCGGACACAGATTCATAAAGTGATGAGAATTTGCAAAGGAGAGAGAATGGATTTCATGGGTTCCCTTGGGAGGGCAGGAGGAATTTGAGGATAATTGATGTCTTAACAAAGCATGCTGTGGAAGATGAGAGGCTGGATCAATTTCCAAGACTAGTAGGGGTAGAGACGTGGGCGCGCCATCTGCTGGGAAGGAGAGTCAGTGCAAGAAGAGAAGGAAGACTTTGAGTTGGGCTTGGCGCTAGCCAATCCTTCACTTTACCGGCTCTTCCAGGAATTACTGGGATCCTGATGAGCGCGGCGGGGCTGCCAGTGTGTCTCACCAGGCCACCGAAGCTGGTCCTTCATCCACCCCCTGTCAGCAAGAGTGAAATAAAATCCATCCCGGGCGTTTCCAACACAAGCCGCAAGACCACCAAAAAGCAGGCCAAGAAAGGTACCAGCTTCTTAATCTAATGGGTACTGGAGTTGGAAGACTTGACACCCCCCGCCCCCCCGAGCTTTGGCTCTGCCTCCATCCCGGAGTGTCATTCCTCTAGGGTAACCCTCTGTGTCTTAACTGAGCCATCAGCTCAGAGGACCTGACAGTATACCTGTTCTGATGATTATGTCATTCTTAGGAGCTGTCGAGTCAAGTCTGACTCATACCGACCCTATAAACAACATGTCTGAACCCTGTCCTATCCTGACCCGTCCACATCATCTCTGACACACTTTAGCCCGTTGCAGCAGGCCTCGTGTCAGCCCATCTAGCTGAAGATCTTGGTCTCTTTGACCAACCTGCCACCTTTCCAAGCATGATGTCCCTCTCCAGAGAATAGCCTCTCCTAGCAACTGATGTCACAAAACATAGGATTTTGTCAACTCTGATGATTCTACGAAAGTGTATTTAATTTTGGGAAATAAAAATTTGCAAAAATTCAGAAACATCAAAATATTTTTAAAGCCCCAATAAAATACAACCTCAGACTCAAACTTAATCCTTAAATCAGAGCTGACTCAAAGTGAGTCCTCCATTGAGTTTTCAAGGCTGTAGGTCACGTGGGTGAAGATGACACCTTTTTTTCCCCCTGTTGAGCCCTTGGTTGATTCCAGCCAACAGCAAGGCATGGCCTGTGGGTCAGCAGTGCAGCTGTCTGCAGATGAGGCCACCAGCGACCCTTAAAAGAATACAAAACTCAAAATTCAAACTCATTGGCATCAAGTCAGCATTTGCCTTTTTATAGGATTAAATAAGTTTTCATTTAGTAAGACTCCCTTAATGTTTAACATGGGATTGTTGTTTTTGTTTTGTGTTGATGAGTTGGAACCGACTCATAGCTGATTCTCCAGAGGGTTTTCAGAGGCAGTATGGGAAGAGATTGCCCATCCTTCTTCTGTGGAGCAGTGGTGGATTTGAACCATATGCCTTTAAGATTTCAGAGCAGCTTCTTACCTCCAGGACACCAGACCTCCCTTAACATGGGGTGGTTGTTGTTGTTGTTGTTTTGTTGCTGAGGACCATCAAGTCGGAACAGACCCATGACTGACCCTCCAGTGGGTTTTCTGAGGCAGGAAATCACATGAGAGAAGACTGCCCATCTTTCTCCCCAGGAGCAACTGTGGATTTGAACCTTGTGCCTTCAGGATTGCAGTGCAACTTCTCACCATGAGGTCCCCAGAGTTCCCTAACATGAGATTAGAGAGGGTCAGTCACACTTATGAATTGCTGTCGAGTCAGATGATGCTCCAGGTGGTTTTCAGAGGCAATAAATGGCACGGGAGGAGATCACCCATCCTTCTCCTGCAGGGCCAGATGTGAACAACCAGAAAGGCTGTTAGCACCTTTGTGTTAACAGTGCAGTTTCCTGTGAACACTACCAAAGTGCTGCACAGATCAATGTGCTTGAAGATCAAGATCGCTTTGAAGGTGAAGCCAAAACAGGCTGGATTCAAGCTCCGGCTCTATCAGTTACACATCATATATAGCCAGGTGGAGCCACAGTTTTCTTGTCTTTGCAATGGAATAAAACCACCTTCTAATCAGTGTCTGTCAGACATTCTCTGGAATGCGTCACTCACAGAGGGGAAACAGCCAAACTCTGTGTCCTTCTACACCCTCTGAAGCCCTAGCTTCTTTATCTCTCTTTCAGGAGCCTATTACCCCAGAGCCCAGCAACTAAACGGTGGTACCTGTACCTCCCCTGGCATCGGTCAGCCCTGCTACTGCACTGGGGTGGACTGATGGCTGGGACAAATCGAAATCAGCATAATCAAAATCAGCATCAAGCACCACTGATGTCTGGCCAACTCCTTGGGTTTCTAGAGTAGAATTGCTCCAAGAGTTTTCTTGGCTGTAATTTTTATGGAAGGAAATTGTCAGGCCTTTCTTCCTTGGTGACATGAGGTGGATTTGAACCAGGAGCGTCTAAGTTGGTAGCTGAGCTTTGTGCTATTCTGAATCCTCGTATTGGCTGTTAGGTGTTTTGACCACCATACCCTTAAATGTGCAGCCTTGCAAAGTTATTATGAAGTTTAAGTGGAATGAGATGCATAGTGTTCTTAGCCCAGGGCCTGGGAAATAATAAGCTCTCAATTAATAGAAGTGGGATTATTAGCCAAGAAGTGGGGCAGCGGGAGGGGAGGACCTGCATCCCGGCTCTTCGCTGCTGCATGATGCTCTTCCCCAAACGCTTGGCCTACTTTTGCGGGCTGTCAGAACGCCTCTGCTTAAATGAACTTGCAAGCCGTTGTCTTCCCCATCGTCTAATAGGAAATGACAGGCGTGTATACATTCCCACTCTTGTTAATATCATTAATCACGCATTGTGGGCCTTACCTGGCACACTGCGAAATCGAATCATTTAATCATTGATGACTCAGCACAGCAACTCTTTGAAGTAGGTGCTCCTGTTCTTCCCCAGTTTACAGGTAGAAGAATGGAGGTGTAGAGAGGTTGAAAGTGGCTCAGGATGGCATAGATTCCATCCGCCTTTTGAGTCTTACTGAAGTCCCTGGGAGGGGAGGGGCACGAAGAGGCTGACATCTGAAAAGTTGATAGCACTACGTTTGGTTTGGGTTGGTGCTTCCAGACCGGGCTGGCTTGTAAGGGTCCTACATCCAAAGCAATAATGAAATGATAGGAGTGTGGCAGGATTTTTGTTACCTTTTCCACCCTCCCTGCTGTAGGCCACTGTCAACCAGTGGAAGACATTCCTGAAGCCGTGGATCACGACTTCCTGGGTTTCTACTGTTGTTGTTAGGTGCCTTCAAGTTGAGTACGACTCACAGCAACCCTATAAACAAAAAATCTGAACCCTATTCTATCCTGCGTCATGCTCCTACTTCCTGATACACAAGAGCCCGTTGCAACAGTCACTGCATCCGTCTACCTGGTCAAGGGTCTTCTCTTTTGCTGACCCTCCACCCTTCCCAGCTTCATGTTCCTCTCCAAGGAATAGCCCCTCCTAGCAACATGCCCAAAGTGTGTGAGGTGAAACCTCATCATTCTTGCCTCCAAAGAGCACTCCGGCTGCATCTTCTCCAAGACATATCTGCTTGTTCTCTTGGCCGTCCATGAGATAGATGTTCAGTGCTCTTCTCCCACACCACAGCTCAAAGGCATCAGTTCTTTTTCTGTCATCCTTATTCATTGTCCAAGTTTCAGATGCATAACAATTGTTTGGAAAGACTATGGCCTGAATCAGATGCACCTTAGTCCTCAAACTGACATCATTACTCCTCAATACTTTGAAGAGGTCCCTAACTGCAGATTTTTCACAGTGCAATGCATCCCGTTATTTCCTGACTGCAAAATTTTAAAAAAATATCTGACAGCACATTCTAGATGAGACAACCTAGGATTCCATTAAACTTGAATGCAGTAAGGATACCTATTATGTATTTAGCAGTTTACAAGGTACTCCTGTCTCTGTTAACTTGAATATTGAAGATTCAAATCCACCTTTGACACTGTGGAGGAAAAGGCATATAGACATCTTTCACAAAGGTTACAACCAAGAAAATTCAGTGGTGCTCAGATCTGCCCTGTGGCACACAGGGTGCGGTGACCCATGACAGACTCGATGGCCCGCTAACATTGAAGTTTTCGCTTGTATTTTCAAATCTTTTCTCTCATTGGAGCCTTTGGGCTAGTTCAGGCTCTTCAGTTAGAAAGTAGAGAAACTCCCTCAAATGAGCTCATTTGAAAAGTTGTTGTTGTTGTTGTTGTTGTTGTTAAGCACCCTCGAGTCTCGTACAACTAACAGTGACCCTGTGAACAACAGATCTTCCCCCTCTCCTGTCCTGTGCCATCCTCACAGTCTCCGACACCTGAGCCCATTGCTGCAGTCACTGTGTCAGTCCACCTGGTCGAGGGTCTTCCTCTCCTTTGCCGTCCTCCGCCTTCCCAAGTGTGATGTCCCTCTCCAAGGAATAGCCTCTCCAGTCAACATGCCCAGAGTATGTGAGATGAAGCTTTATCATCTTTGCCTCCATGGAGCACTCCGGCTGCACCTTCTCTGAGACATATCTATTTGTTCTTTGGCAGCCCATGGGATATTCAGTATTCTAACCCAATACCACAGGTCAAAGGCATCAATTTTTCTGTCTTTCTGTTCCCTCTGACTACCTCCCTGGCCTCTTCTGGCTCCTGTATTCTTAAAAATCTAAAACCAATTGCAGAATGAATTCCAAGGGGCTTTCATGTTCAGAGCTGGCCAGTCACCTCCTTCTGTGACCTGCTCCAAGTCCCTGGGGGTTGTTATTGTTAGGAATCTTCAAGTCAACCATGACCCAGTGACCCTGTGAAGAATAGACCTGAGCCTTTCACTGTCCTGCACCGTCCTGGTGATCTCTGATGTGCTCAAGGCCATTGTTACAGTCGCTGTGACAGTACATCTAGTTGAGGGTCTTCCTCTCTCCTAACCCTCCCCCTTTCCCAGCGTGATGTCTGTCTCCAAGGACTTGCCCCTCCTGACAACATGCCCAAAGTGTGTGAGACGAACTCTAAGGAGCAAGCACCCTGTTTACTCTTCCTCCACGACCCACATACGGGTTCTTTGGCAGTCCAGGGGCTATTCGGACTCTTATCCAGCAGTACACTTCAAAGGCATTGATTCTTCTGTCATGCTTTTTCTTTTTTATTACTATTAATTAATTTTAATGAAAGTTTACAGAGACTTTGGGTTTCCATTCATTCATTGTTGCACTTTTCTCCCTGCCCAGCCTCCCCGCCAGTTCGCTTTTCCTTTGAAAAGGAAAAGAAAACGTCTTTCATTGTTACACAGTCCCTTTCCCCAAGTCCACTCCACTATGCAGCCTTCGTTCTGGACTCCTGTCATGACAATAATGTCATCCTTTTTCATTGTCCATCTTTCAAATGGAAAGGAAGTCATTGCAAAGACCCTGGGTGGGACAGATGGTTAACTGAAAGGTTGGAGGCTCAGGTCCACCCAGAGATGCCTTAGATGAGAGACTTGATGATGTTCTACTTCCCAAAAACCAGCAGCTGAGGACCTCAGATCCTGTTCTACTCTGACACACATGGGGTCACCATGAGTTGGCATTAACTCTGGAAGCTGGCCAGGTTATGGAGTGTCTAGCTTGTGTGAGGCTGTTAGGCCCCTTACCTCTGCACTGGTGACCCACTGCTCTCCCTGTCCCCACAGGGAAAACTCCAGAGGAAGTGCTGAAGAAGTATCTGCAGAAAGTCCGGCACCCTCCAGATGAGGTGAGCGAAGCGGAGGGGTCATCCGCGAGCATGTCCTTGGAAGTCATTTCCTGCAGGGTGCAGCGGGAGATGCCTTCGGGGTCAAGCCTAGCACAGAGCCGGTCAGAGCTTCTGCGGTTCTCCGTCCAGAACCACCACTGTGACTTTCCCCTCCTCCAGTTACTGGTGCCGCAGAGTGCTGAGCAATTAGAAGCTGTCTGAACAGAAGGCTCAGGTATCAGTGTGATCAGCTCCAGGACTCCTTGTCACTTGGATTTGACATCCCCCAGTGGCTCTCTACGAGGGACAGTCTTGCAACACACGCACCTTCACCACCACTCCCAGGGAGACATTTTTAGTCTCCGGGGCTACTGAGACTATTGGCATCTTGTGGATAGAGGGCATGGGTGTTGCTGAATACCCTATAAGGAGCAGGACAGTGCCTGTGTCTCCCACCATCACAGTAAAGAAACTTCTGGCCCCAGATGTCAGTAGGGCTGAGGCTGGAAACCCAGGCTTGGAATATGATTCCCTTTATGAAAGTTGAGCTTAACTATAACATGCCAATAGGTCTACCAGCAAACCTTTGTTTCCTTCATGAGCAACTGGAGGATGAGTTGGAAGGATACTGCGTGGCCACGTGTTTTAGGCAGGGAGCCCAGGTTAACATGCACATCTACCAGAAATGATGCTGGGATTTCTCTCGTGTAAAGAGAGATGAAAGGGCACATAAACTCTAGCTTGCAGGTTCTTGAGAAGAGGATTGATAATAGTTAGACATGTGACCAGTTGAGGTCACTGGGGAGCTGCCGTGGAAAGGTCCCCCCTGCCCAGGCTGAGCCGCATCTGAAGGGCTTTTCTCTTCTGTCCTCTCCTGACCCCCAGGACTGCACCATCTGTATGGAGCGCCTCACGGCTCCCTCGGGCTACAAGGGCCCGCAGCCGACGGTCAAGCCTGACCTGGTGGGCAAGCTGTCCAGATGTGGTCACATCTACCACATCTACTGCCTAGTTGCCATGTACAACAATGGGAACAAGGTCAGTGCTGGCCTGTGGGCCCTGGGGGGGAGGGGTGGGAGGGGTCACGGAGCCAGGTTGGTTCATGGGAGGAGTCTGAGAGAAACATACCCCGCAGTGCAGGTGGGACTGCCCTCAACAAGATCAGTGCTCAGCAACAGTGTCTAGTGTCTTGATGACTCCAAGATTCTAGTGTTTTCACCTTCTCGTGGAATAATTTACTTCTTCTTCAGTCACCATCTTGGGTAAAGTGGCCTGAGGGTTGTGAACTACCCGCCTACCCATGAAGGTTCTGAAGGGAGTAGGCTGTGATCCGTTGCTGGGTATGAAGGGAGATCCATCAGTGAGTGTGCATATCAGTGCAGGCCTCTGGTGAACCTTCATTCATTCGGCAGAGATAGATTTTCCAGTAACTCTTTCATCTCCACATTTCTTTGATTTTCAGTTTGACCCTCTCTAAAGGCATTAGAGCCTGTTGTTTGAGTACACTTGGGGTCTCTGTCCTTGGGCTCTGGCTGGTGGAGAAGCAGACAAGCTGTTCTGATGCGTGTCTTGTTCATTAATCAGCAGTTACTTAGAAATGTGTTATTAGGGCTATTTTCTGGGGATGTGGGAGTGTCCTGTCTTCTTATTGTTGTTAATTACCATCAAATTAGAAGTGACCCATAACTGTCCTTCCAGCAGGTTTCCACATGGGAGGAGATTGCCCATCAGTCTCCCACAGAGCAGCTGGTGGTTTTGAACTATGTACCTTTAGGTTGGCAGTGCAATTCCTTACCACTAATCCACCAAAGCTCCCTTATCTTAGTTTCTGTAAAAACAGTGCAGCCTGCATGGGAGGAGTGAGGCCTTTCCACCACCAATTCCACTTAGGTAAAGAGCTTCCTTCAAAAATAACAACCCCAAACTAATTCCTATGAGACAAGACATTCCTCCACATCTTTGGATTGCGTCTATCAGTTCTAGCACTGACTGTCTCTCCCATAGACCTCACTGCTCTACCATTGAACTTGCTGATACATGTTGAATAAGCCACAAAGAACTCAAATGGAATAGTCACGATTATGGAATTTATTAGGGAAGTTAATGGGCAACAAGTCAGAATGGAAGCAGGATACAAGTCTTTAGTCAGAATATCTTCTAGGTTGTACTTGAAGGCCCTCTGCCCTTCAGATTCACTGGCACTGCCTTGTGACTCTGGGCCAGTGTTTCAAGTTCTGTTAGTCTTGCCAGCGATGACATCTATACCAGCCCCTCCACCAGTGCGTTCGGAAGAGAGCCCTCAATCTGGCTCCGCAGGACGGCAGGTCTAGTTCCGCCCTGTTTCATGTTGGTCCCTGGATTCTCTGCCGCCTCTGCTGCTGGTCTGATCCCATGTCCATCCCACACAGCAATCTCTAGCCCAAAAGGATGTACCGCACTCTGTACTTCTTTCTTAATGGAAGCAGGTTTGCTATTTCTGGCCCCTGAACCTGCTCAAGTTCAGCCTGATTGGACGGCAGAACTGACCAATCCGCTTGTTAGTGGTCTGTTATTACTGGTAGATGGCGTCAAGTCAATGACGACTCTTGATGACTCTCTGATGAAAACCTTGTCCTAACTTGGGTTCTAGCAGCCCATACACCTTATTTGCCTATTCCCAACCAAAAGGTGCCGTTTACTTATTTGTATTATTAGTAAACAATCCAGACTACCCAATGCTTTGGGTGGGGCCGCAGCCACTTTGCAGTAGTATAGTTCTACTTAGCCATGTGGTAAAAGTCAAAACCAATGGCTAGAAGAGCCACATTGAATAACCCACCACAGCATCATTTTCAAGTGCTTCTGGAACAGAAATACCCTAAGTGCGTAGCTCTGAAGAATGGAAATTTATTTCCTCTCAGTACCCATCAGGGTCTTAGCTGTGGTGGTTCCTTCTGCGAGCTTCTCTCCTTGTCTCTGGTGTCTGCTGGCAATGCTCGGGAGGGGGTCTTCAGATGCCCCCTGCCTTCCCTGTGTGTATGTATCTCTAGGTCTATTCTGAGCTTTCTTTAACTCAAAAGTGACCACCCTTCACTCTTATGGTAAGAACTCAACTGATTGGTTATATTGCACTGTGGACTGGGAAGGTGGTTACCGTATTTTTCACATATGATGTGACCACATAAATAACATGCTCACATATATAGCCCCCACAGCCCAGGGGTAGCGAACATCCAAGGGGCTTGCACAGTCTGCAGAAAGCATACAACGTGTGTGCTATTTGGGTCAAGTACTACGTATCACATTGCAGTAGATTAAATTGTGGAATCTACTCTCCTCAAGGCCTGTTGATCCAATCACATGTAGTTACAACTATACTAGGAGTCAAACCACTGATAACCATTAACCTAGCCAGGTTGACGTGAAATTAGCCATCACCTCTCCCATGGAAATCATTCTCTCTGTTGCATGTGTGAATGTTTTCCTAAGTTGTCGGTTGTGCTCGTACTCTTTCTTATATCCTATTTCCATGAATTATAACTCTACTGGCTTCTACAGGTCCAGCTTGGATTCCATCAGAGTCTGAGAGTTCCCTAGTGTCTCCCCATCCCAAAGCGATCTGGATTTCCAAGACTACTCTGTTCTTCTCTGACGTAATAGAAAATTACAGGAGCAACAGGGACAACTGACTGAGACTTCAAGAATTAAGCTGAATGACCTTGGGCAGATTTCTTTCCTCCTTGTGGTTACCTCATTTCCCATCAGATAATAGAAAAGAATACATACTTTACAGGGCGTGAAAGGGAACTCTGGCAGCTTAGTGAATAAGGAGTGACGCTGCCAATCCAAAGACATGCGGTTCAAATCTACCTGCTGCTACATAGGAGAAAAATGGACAGTGTCCCCATATGATTCACAGCCTCTGAAAACCCACTGGAGGGTCAGCTGTGAGTCAGTTATGACTCAGTGTCAATGAGCAACAACATCGGTTATTTCTCCTATTACTTATCAAGTTCATTTCTTGGTATCATGACTATAATTTTATTCCTTCATCTTCAGCGTGTTTGTTTGAAGTTTCTCATGGATGGACCATTGACCATGGACATTTTCTTTGTCTCAAAGAGACTTGCGCATAGTGGTTCTGCATGACTGATGGACAGGGCAAGTCTCACTCCCATTCTCATGTTCCTGACTTTATGCTGCAGGGATTCACTGGAACCTGCATTTTAACAGACTGTTTGGAGCTTAAAGAGGTTTCTTAGCATGTCATTTCTACATTGATGGCTGTATCCCAGAAAATTCCAGAACTCTTTGCATTTAATTCCGTGGTGTTTTATAAATATTGTGGAAACATTCTCCTTTGTTCTCTTTAGCACTGATAGTTTGAAGTATGCATTTTTATTTTCTCTCCATAGAAGAGGAGGGGAAATGGGCTCAGAGAGAGGTTCAGTGGTTCCCCCAAGGTCAAGAAGCAGGTTCAAGCCTGGCAGGGCATGACCTCCGGTCCCGAAAGCCTTGCTTCCACATTCTTTGATCACAGAGCAACTTGCTTTGGTGCCCTTGAGCCTGAGCTGTTTATTTCAGTGAGTAGAGCTTGAGTTGAATGTCTCTAAATAGCTCGCAGAGGATCCTGGCTTCCCCCAGAAGATGATGTCATGGGGAACTTTGATCCCAGCTGAGTGGTGGTGGTTCTTACACACTGCTCCATCCACATTTCCCTTCTTCTTTGAAGGAGCCTGGGAGGAAGACTTCCTTTCTGGGCTCTCCTGCCTTTGAGGAAAGACTTTCTCAGGCCTTACTGTGAAGCCACAGGCCCCTACATCCCTGCATCCGCAGCCTCTTCATTAACAGACAGGGCGGCAAAGTACCATCTCTGCATTAGTATCAAAGCTGTCCCCCCATCTAAGTCTGCCAACCTTGCTTTTTCAGGATGGGAGTTTGCAGTGTCCGACCTGTAAGACCATTTATGGAGTGAAGACAGGCACTCAGCCCCCGGGGAAGATGGAATACCACCTCATTCCCCACTCGCTGCCGGGCCATCCGGACTGCAAAACCATCCGCATCATCTACAGCATCCCGCCCGGCATTCAGGTGAGCCCGCCGCAGCCCTCGACCTTTGATTCTGTTATGTTTGAATCTGTACTAATAAAATCCGATTGGTGCATATCCTGAAAAGCCTCTTTCCCGCCCTCATCCTCCATCTGCCCAGTGTCCTCCCCCCACTTTACTTCCCCCGTTGTTACTTCTGCCTGTCCTCCAGGTATCCACTGCACTTGGTAGTCTGAAGTGCTGTTGAGTTGACCGTACAGCTCACAGTTACAGCGTGAACGGATTTGAACCTTGCCCTATCCTGCACGAGCGCCATGTTCAAGGTCCTGGCTACAGTCACTGTGTCAGTCGGCCTCCTCGAGCGTCTTGCTCTCTTTGACTGACTTTCTGCCCAAAGTATGTGAGACAAAGTTTCACTGCCACTGGCTCTAAGGAGCGTGCTGCCGGCACTTGCCCCAGGACAGACATGTTTGTTCTTTGGGTAGTCCGTCATCTCCAGGACTCTTCACCAAACACCGTGATTTAAAGGCATCAAGTTCTTCTTCAGTCTTTCTTACTCATTGTCCAGTTTTGACATACCTGTTGTTGTTGTATGTCGTCGAGTCAGAACTGACTTATAGCCGACCTTTCACCGGGTTTTCAGAAGCAGCAAATCTCACAGAGGAGCTTGCCAGTCCTTCTCCTGCAGAGCAGCTGGTGGATGTGAACCACATGCCTTTGGGATTACAGCACAGCTTCTTACCACCAGGCCACCAGAGCTCCCTACACACGTATGAAGCAAGTGAAAAGCTCTTGAAAAGACATACCTCAGTCTTTAAGCTGGCATGATCTTTAAACTGACTTTGTGCATAAGAAAAAAAAACCCAAAACACAACAAGCCATAAAGACTGCATCCACAAAGGGCAACATCAGAGAAGTCTTGTTCTGTGCCCAGCTTTTTCAGTAAACAGCATAACCTGTAGACCTTTCCATGACAGTGTAGAGAGAACCTTCTCTCATGTTCTTACGTTATCTCAAATGCACCATAATTAATACTCAGTCATCTCCTACCAACTCCTCCTCTTCACCATTTTACCAATATGTATTCTCACTAACAACTTGCTTTGGAGTTAATTCTCCCAACTCCTAGCAGCCTCATTTGGGTCAGAGTAGAACTTCTGACGCAGGAGTTTTCACATCCTGTCACATTTCTTCTGAGGTACCTCTGGGTGGATTCAAACAGCCAACCTTCCATTTAACAGCCGAACGCTTAACCCTTTACATCGCCAGGGACTCCTTCCACAGCATCCATCTGGTGAACACGTGGCTTGTTCTCAGCCTTTTGCTGCAACAAATAATTCTGTAATGAATAGCCTTGTACGGATGTGAGTATAGCTGTGGAATCATTTTCTAGAAATAGAAATCCTTGGGGAGACTACATCTGCATATGTAATTCGACTGATACTCTTTGGCTTTGATTTTTGTCGACATTTATTCCCTCTGCTGATTCCTGGAAAAAGAGTCCAAAGGAACAAATGTGGGCAGAATTCCTGATGGCAAGTGTGTATGTAGCCCCTCCTTCACACATTAAATCTGCCTCTAAATATCTAACTGTTGGGGTGCTTACTGGGCTCGCTTATTTAACTAATCAGCTCCCCTCCCCTCCCTCTTCCCTCTCTTCTTCTCTTGTCTTTTATTTGACGAACATTTGAGTATGGATGATGGTCCAGATGTATCCCGTTTCCTGGGAGTGTTGGTGGTGAGCTAAACAAACCCAAGGATGGGTCGCTCGGTGGCCTCGGTCTACTGGAAGGAAAAAGAAAACCAGCAAATAAACAAAATGATTCCAAAGAGTGATACGTGTCATGGAGGAAATAAAACAGGGAGATGTGATAAAACGGAGTAAAATGTGCTCATTCCTCCAGCGCTTTCCAGCCAGCCAAAGAAACGTAAATCCGCAGCATTCATGAGGCAGTGTTATTGCTGTCAGTTGTTGTCCAGGTCCCTCTCACTGCTGATGACAGAACTCGGCATCACCTGGTCCTGCACCCTCTTCATGATGTCGCCTGAGTCCATCTCTTGTGGTCTGTAGGGTCTTCAGTGGCTAACTTTTGGAAGGAGATTGTCGGGCTTCTCTTTCTAGTGTATCTGAGCCTACAGGTCTGCCGAAACCTACTCACCGTGCATGCACCTGCTGGTATTAGAAACCCCAGTGGCATGCTTTCCAGCATCATAGCTGCGTACCAGCCACCACAATGTGACAGACGGACAAGCAGCTGGTGAAATGAGGAGCATGTGCACCAAGATAGGTGTGAGTGAAGGGCTGTGCTGTGGGTCCTCGGCGTCTTTACTTTTGAACAGAATCCCTGCGCGTTTTAATGATCGATGGCATTTGGGCAGCCTGCTCCAGGAGCCTTCTTTCTGTCCCACCACGTGGTACTGGGGGTAGGGGTTGAGTAATGCTGCTGTTGTTGTTGTTGTGTGCCTTTGTGTTGGAACTGACCCATAGCTGACCTTTCGGTGGGTTTTCAGAGGCAGTAACTCATATAAGAGGAGACCACCCATCCTTCTCCCACAGAGCAGCTGGTAGGTTTGAACTGCACGCCTTTGGAATTGCAGTGCAATAATAACTCCTAACATGAGCATCTGGAGAACTCTGGTGGCCTGGTGGTAAGAATCTACACTGCAATCCCCAAACACACACAGTTCAAATCCACCAGCTGCTCGCTAGAAGAGGACAAACAATCTCCTGTGTGATTTCCTGCCTCTTAAAAACCACCTGAGGGTCAGCTATGTGTCATTTCTGACTTGATGGCACCCAATAACAACAACAACGTGGTCCTGTGGTCAAAGTGGAAGAAGGCACAAGATCTTCAAAGTCTGATGGAACTGGAGCACGCATCAGGTTGACTCTTCATTAACTGGTGACTTTGAAGAACCAGTCCTCTTTCTGAGCCTGGTTTCTTCGTTTGTATAGCTGGGGACCCTCACATGCAGAGGTTTTGAATGTGCTTGGTGGGTACCAGCCGTAGCACCAAGGTGCATGTTTGTGATTCGAAGGAGGCCTCCTGTCTGGCTGTCCGACGGTCTGAGAAGGCTTTATAGGGTCAAGGGTTTCCTGCGTGATCCTTGAGTGATAAATGAAGAAATGGAGTGTGACGATTGGCATTGGAGCACACACACAGTTAGAGAGGACAGTAGGGAAGTTACACGGGGATAAGTTTCATGTAAGGCCTGTTGTTGATAGCTTCCTTGGCTCAGTTCTTATAACAGCTTGATACGTCACAGAATGCATGGCGGTGTGGGCGGTCACCACCTTCATGACTGTTGTTAGGCTGAAGTTGGTCTATCCCAGCAAGGGTCCTTTTCACAGTTACCACCCATGCACTGTGGCAACCTTGGCGTCCTTTCTAGTGCTGGGTCTTTCCTGATGACATCTGAAGTCAGTCAGCCAAGGTCTCATCCTCTTTGCTTCTGAGAAGCATCCTGGTTGTATTTCTTCCAAGGCTGATTTGTTCATTCTTGCGGCTTGTTGTTTTGTTAGGCGCCATGGAGTTTGTTCTGACTCAGCAGCCCGAAGTATAGCAGAGTGAAGCTCTGCACCAACCTCTCTACCTCCGCAGTGCTTCAGCCCATGGGCCAAATCGTGCTGTCTGTCCGTCCATCCTGTTGAGGGTCCATCCTTTTTGTCTCTGCTGTTCTACTTTTCCAAGCACGTTATCTCTTGCCAAGGACTGACCGCTCCAAATAACATGTCCAAAGTATGTGAGACAGAGTCTCACCGTCTTCGCCTCGAAGGAGCATTCTGGCTGCTTTTCAAGAGAGATTTTTTTTGCTTCTCTGGCAGTTCGCAGTGTGTCCTGTAATCTCCTTAGTTCTCCAGCTCAAACGCAGTGGGGGCCTGTTGTTGTTAGATGCTGTCAAGTCGATCATGACTCATAGCGACCCTGTGAACAACAGATCTGAACCCGGTCCTGTCCTGGGCTGTCCTCATCATCTCTGATATACTGACCGCATTGCTTCAGTCACTATGTCTGTCTGTCTTGTTAAGGGTCTTCCTCTCTTTCGCTGACTCTCTCTCTTTCTAAGCATGATGTTCCTCTCCAAGGAACAGGCTCTCCTGGCAACATGAAGAAAGTATGTGGGATGTGACTTTGCCATCCTTGCCTCCAGGGAGCACTCTGGCTGCACTTTGTCCACGGCATACATAGAGAGGCCTGTTGTTGTTGTTGTTATGTGCCAGTGAGTTGCCTTTGACTCAAGAGTGACCTCATGTACAACAGCCCTAAACCCTGCCCTAGCCTGTGCCAATCTCACCATCTCCGACACACCTACCTCCATCACCCCAGTCACTGAGCCAATCCATCTCGTCGAGAGTCTTCCTCTCATGCGCTGTCCCTCCACCCTCTCAAGCATGACATCCCTCTCCAAGGACTTGTCCCTCCTTGCAACATGTCCAAAGTATGTCAGACGAAGCTTCAGAATCCTTGCCTCCAAGGAGTAGCCCGGCTTCACCCTGTTCATTTTCTTGGCATTTCAAGGTATATTCAATACTCTTCTCCAGCACCATAGCTCAAAGGCATCAATTTTCCTTCTATCATCCCTAGGACATGCAAAATGGAAGGATAGGAGGGGCATGAAGGAAACACAGAAGGAAAAACAGACAGAAGGTCTGCAGCCAGATAAGAAAGGGTCTGAATGTTCGAGGCATGGCATGAACTGTTGGTCAGGGTATGCCCAGTCCCTGCAGCTGCTGCGTGAGGGATTAGATTTATAGAGACTGTATGATTAGGATTATGGAGAGTATTGATGATGAGGCGAGGTCTGTGAGGAGACCACTGCCAAGTCCAAGTTCTGCAGGGTCAGAAGAGGGGAAAGGCCTGAGGCAAGGAAGTGAAAGGGTTCATTGACTCTAGTGGCAGATGAGACACTGCGAGTGATTCTGGAGCTGCCGGCTGGGGGACAAAACTTCCTAATTAATCTTCCAGTAAAAATATGGGAATCAAAAGGAAGTGAGGAAGTGCATTGCTGAGAAGTCTATCTTCCAACTGTGGTTCAAACTGAAGGGGGTTCTTACACTCACACACACATTTACAACTACGGAAACTCAGTAGAGGACTATTGCAAGTCGGAGCAGCTGATAACAGTGGCTTGGGTTCATTCGTTCCTTGGATGGCCCAACTAATTAATCACTAGACTTCTAACCCAAAGGTTTGCAGTTTGAACCCACCCAGACCTGCTGCCCTCAGGTCAGTCCAAGTCCTAATGCTCCTCGAGAAGCTTCTGAACTTGTAAATCCTTACGGGAGGAGACTGCTCATCCTTCTCCCTTGGAATGGCTGGTAGGTTCAAGCTGCCAGTCTCTCAATTAGCAGCCCCAGACATTGCCTGCTGTGCACACCTGCAATAGGTCACATTCATTGAAGAGCCTGTGGAATGCAGTTCTATGCTAAAGCACATGGGGTCGCTGTGAGTCACAATCAACTGGTTTGGTTTTTGTTTTGTTGTATTTTGGGGCTTTTTTTTTGTGTATGCCTGCTGTCGAATCAGATCTGACTGGCACAAGATGAGATTGCCCCTCCTTCTCCAGCAAAGTATCTGGTGGATTCAAACTGTACACCTTTGAGATTTTGCAGCACAGCTTCTTGCCGCCAGGCCACAAGTTCTCCCTATGGTTTGGATTTTTTAGGTCAGACTGAGGTGGGCAGAGGTCAGAGCAGTCAAGCCCTGAGAGGCTGGCACCAGGATTAAGGAGCAGGCTGCAGCAGGGCATGGAGGTACCACAGGCCGCCCCTCCAGGAAACCCTAACTTTGCATGAAGGGATGCGGCTCTCAGCTGTCAGCACCTTCAAGACCACCACAAAGGATGGTAGCAGGATGCTCAGAGCCACCTGCCTGGAGACCCCCAGCACTGCACGGTCTCAGGTCTCAGGATGACTTGAGACCTTTAAGCTCTGTCCTCTCTGCTGAGAATGATTGCCTGGGGGAGACTTCTAGCAGAGTCGTGACTGCTCTGCTTGGGGTTGTGCAGGAGCACACGGCCTGCTGGTGTGGTGCCAAGCCGCGTCTGAACCGATAAAGCCGGCCAGCGCCGGGTAGAGAGGAGCAGGAGAGCTGTAATTAGACTCGGCCTTTCAGACCAGAAGCGTAGCTGAGAAACAGCCGTACTGTTAGAGATGTTGTGCATTTTGTATCAGCTTTATCTGAATATGAAATTTTAACAGGCGTGGTCAACCCTGGAAGCTCACAGTGAACTTTCCTTATCTGAGACCCTTATCATGCTATTCAGTTTGCCACATCATGGGAAACCTTGGATCTTCCTTTTTAAATCAGTCAGAATTTTTCATCATGGATCTATTGCAATATAAAGAGAAATGAAAAACTCACGTTCTCTTTTAGTTTTATCATTCATTCACTCACTCATTTACCTACTCACCTACTCATATAATCATCTAGTACATGCATTATTATTTTTTTTTATCAGCTGTGTACAATACTTATGCCAGTAACTCCAGGGATCTATCAGTACACAGCTGGAAAGGTGGAGAGCCAGTGTGAAAAGTAGAAGACCTACAACAAGATAGATTGGCACATTATTGTTATTGTTAATAGTGGATTGAAGGGTGTTGGAGGTGGTCAAGATGGCACAGGATAGGACAGGTTCAGATCCATTGTTCAGAGTCAGTGTGAGTCTCCATTGACTTGACAGCACATAACAACAACAACAATAGTGGTTTTATCCTGAGCTGTTTCTTTGACAGGGTTCTGCATACCCTGGAACAGACACGGGTGTTCAGAATTTATGTGCACACATGAACCTTTGTGCACCATTATTAGGAGAAATGTCTTTGCTATTCATGAGCTTCTCAGAGGAACCTATAAATGCATTCTGGGCCTTTGCTAAGCTTTGTTCAATTCAGCCTGTGTCTTACCAGTGTCCTGAGATGGTTTGCTCCATAGGGGCATTAGGTAATAACACGTTTGGTGGGAGATTTATTTCTTTTTCATTTCAATGAACATCTACAGAGATTTTGGAATTCCATTCATTCATTGTCGCACCCTTCTCCCCGCCCCCATCCCCCACCCCGTTAGCTCCTCTCCTTGAAAAGCAAAAAAACCTCCCTCATTGGTACACAGTCCCCCCTGCACTTCCCCCAACCCCATCCCCCACCCCCAAATATAATCCACTCTGCAACCCTCATTCCATACTCTTACGATAAACATAAT